TAAAGATGTAGATTCATGGATGCCTCCTCTTGGAAAATTATCGCACAGAATATATTCATCGCGGACAAACCGTAGCTTAATTTAATCGAGCATTTAAATACAGTTAGTGTATGCAATTAAGAATTCACGAATTTTATATCCTCAAGTCATTAAGGATAAACTTTGAAATCGGGAAAAAACAGCCCATCATAAGGCCTATGCTAACATTTCTCTACATAACTTTAAAATTATCTAGGAAATTATGATAAACCAAAACAAATCTACAGCGAGAAGAATGCACAGAATGAGAAGTGGGCAAATGAAAGTATAAACAAGATTATTATATATTTAAATGAATTATAAATACTAAAAGCGACAAACTTATAATTAAAATTATTTGTAAACCTTAGTAAAACAAATAATGGCTATAAATGTAAATAATATGCAGGATTTACTGAGCTCTGATGCCAAAAAATTAAAAATATTTTGCAGCAACCTACCCATAAATAATGAGCTTGAAGTCTTTTCTATAGAATCAAAGAAATCAGTATACTTTAGACCAAAATCCCCGCTTGCTGAGGATACGACAGGAGATGCAGCAACGAAAAACTGGCGGACTAAGCCAATAAGAGCTTCACGAAAACGAGAACAAATGCGATTGGCACCTGCATCTGGTCCGAGAAAGCCCCAAGCTAAAGCAGGGGCAAAAGTACCAACTAAGGCATAATAATGAGCGTAAAAACCATCAGGTCGTTGGAGCATCTTCCGTTTACCCATCAGGATGGTCCATATCGCAGAATCAATAGCAGTACGCTTGAAACTAGCACTGAGCCATTGATTGCGAGTGACTGAAAGAATAGAAGAAGGAGGATTAGCGAGGACTTCAAGGGCATCAAGGAGGATAAGATCGAAGACAACGTCATAAAAGTTCAAAACCTTGACACCCTTAGCTGCCAGTTCCTCTGCCAGTTGAGAATTAGCACCGTGAGCCATTGGACTTGCGAGGAAATCAAGCATACGTCTGTTATAATTATAAATAAAAGGAAATATAAGCAAAAAGGGAAGTAATAGCATGGAAATAAATAATAAATAGCTAATGCTATTGAAAAGAGGGCGTTTATCGATGTTGACAGAACAAATGCCCATAAATGGAAAGTAATGGCCGAGTTGTGACTTATTTATTTGAATAATAAAACCCTAAAATTATTTAAGCTTGAGCAAAGATTAATATTCGTTTTCAATTTAAATCGCAGGTTCTTAAATTAATTTAAATGAAAGAAAAATTATAATAAGTCAAATATAAAACAAAGGGGTACTCCAATCTTTATTTGATTACGTAGCTGCCAAATAAATCGGTTGAATTGTCAACAGCAAGGAAGATCAAATTATATTTAGTGCATTTATATTGATAAAAACATAAGATCCGTAGATAAGATAAAAAATTACTCGTCTGGATTCTAACTATCTAAATAAGAAACGCTCATCAATCGTAAATATATGAAAAGCTCTTGATAAAAATCAAGATCAAATCATGAATATCCACAAGACTAAAGAGTTCCTCACTACACGACAATGCAGGTCGGTAGATAAAAGCAAAAATATTAATTATATTATGTGAATAAAAAGGCGTATTAATTTTGCCCATAAGGTCATCGTAAATAACAATAAACATAGACGAATTGAATAGCAAAAATAACGGATCACAAAGAGACAAAGCGAGGACATCGCTCAATCCATAATATTTATTCCGATATCGACTTGAGTGACAGTTACTCTACACTATCAATAATCTAACTTGATAGGCCAAATTACTTTAATAGAAAATAGTTACACGAGCCAACCGATCACAAAACGTTACATAATCGAAAATAAAAACATATATTGGAATATTTTTTGATGCAAGGTATTTTTTGCGCTATGCTTCCAACACAGCAAATACCAGCGAAAGTTATTAAATAAAATACTTAATTAGAATACTCAAGAACTAGAAAAAAAAATAAAAAACTTGCAAAATTCGGCCGAGTAAAAAAGTCAAAAAACCGAACCAACTAAGATACTAAACCCGCCGTTTGTCAGCTTTCAGAAAATGCTTATAAAAGATCAGAACTAATATTTTTATACTTGGTTTGCAGTCATTGCTGTCTATTATGATTCTAAATTAAAAAATATAAACTTACTTATAA